CAGTGACATCAGCAGGAATAATGGAGTTAGGGAGCTCCAAAAATCCTTTCCTCCATAAAGCAAGAACAATAGTAGCAAAAATTGCTAACGTCAACTTTTTTCAAAACTCTAGAAATTAATCAAAGGCTTGCATCAATCTAGGGAGAATGTATTACAGAAAAATGGCTGATTTTCATTAAAAACAGCAAGTTTGATGGCATTTTAATCTCATCCCTCTATTCCATATATAAGTATGGTATCTAAATCATATATAAGTATCTAAACCATATATAAGTATGATAACCATCAGAGCCCTGAAAATCAGGAGGTTCAAAATCACAATAAAATCCAGTAGCCTAGCAGCCTAGCAGCCATCAGGAGGGACAAAATAGGGTTGGAGCTCCTGTAAAACCCCATTCCCAGAAATTGTCATTATTGATCTGTCTGACAGTTCCCTGGAAAACACCACTCCTTTACTTGTCTTTATTTAACCTGACTCAGAGCTTGTCTAGTGCCAATAACCTTTCCCCAGATGGCATTTGCCAAAAACAAACAGGGCCAACTGTTTAACATCAAGCTGCCTGAGGTGGCAGTAACAGTTGGGGCAAACAACAAGCTGACTGGAATCTTAAAAGTAAAAGCTCGTAATGAAATGTCAATAAGGTGTTTCGATAAGATCCAACATATTTCTTGAACTCTAGATGACCAGGCTCACGCAAGTGCTCAGTAAAGAACTGAAAAGGCTACGTAAGCTTTGACCTATTGCTACACTTCAAGTTCTGTACAAATGGGAGCTAAAAGCTAAAGCAGAGTTATTAACTGCCTGTCTAAGCATTGAAGGCATGCCCCATCATGCACACAGACACTGTCAGCAAAGGCTGGGAGATTCACTGCTTCCAAACATTAAGGAAATAACTATCCAATCATTAGGTGACCAGTACTAACCATGCAGAGACTTTGGTGGCCACACATAAAAAGCATACAAAGTTTACATAAAGAGTTCAGGGAAGTCACTATGCAAACAAATAACAAGAACAGCAACAAGAAGAAACCCTGAAGAGGAGAATCTGATTTCCAGAGTTACCACATTAGATATTACGTGTCTAATTTTCAACAAAAAAGTGTGAGACATGCAAGAAAAAAGGATGATCTGTACAGAGAGAGAAAAAAAGGCAGTTAATTGTCCCTAAGGAAGCCCAGACATTGGACTTAAGAGACAAAGACACTAAAATATTTTCCCTAAATATTTTCTTAGATATGGTTTCAAAGAACTAAAGGAAACCATATAGAAGTATGATAATAATATCTCACCAAATAAAGATAATTAATGAAAAGACAGAGATTACGAAAAAGAACAAAGATTGTGGAGTTAAAAAGTATAATTTAATTCAAAAATTCACTCAAGGAGTTCAACAGCATATTTGAGCTAGCACAAAAATCAGTGAACTTGAAGATAGGTGAATTGATACTACCCAGGCCAAGGAAGAGAAAGAAAAAAAATGAAGAAAAACAAAGCATCAAAGACCTATAGGAAATCATCAAGCATACCAAGATATGCATAATGAGAATACCAGAAAAAGAGGAGAAAAAGAAGCAGAAAGAACATCTGAAGAAACAATGTGAGGAAGCTTCTCAAATTTCATGAAAAATATTAATCTATACATCTAAGAAGTTCAAGAAACTCAAAGTAGGATAAAAGTCAAGAGATCCACACTGTAACACATTATAACCAAACTTTAAAAAAATAGAGAATATTGAAAGCAACAAGAGAGAAGCAGCTCATCATAAATAGGGAATCTTCAGTAAAATTTTATATCTGATTTCTCATTAAAAACTATAGAAGCTAGAGGCAGTGGGAAGATACATTCAAAATCCTAAAAGAAAAAGATCACCAACTAAGAATTCTAATTCCAGCAAAACTACTCTTTGAATATGAAAAAATTATGACTTTCTTAGGTAAATAAAACCAAAGAGAACATATGGTAGCACATCTTACTAATGAGAAATACCAGTGGGGTTCCCTCAGGCTGAACTGAAAGGACAATAGACAGTACTTGAATCTATGTAAAGAAATTAAGAACATTAGTAAAGATAGCTACATAGGTAAATATAAAAGACAGTACAAATGTTTTTTTGTTTGTGACTCTCTTTTCTCAATGTGATTTAAAATCCAACTGTATAAATCAAGAATTATAAATCAGTGTTAAAGGACACTGTATTAATGTAGAAAGATGTAACTTACGTAATACTAGCATGAAGAAAGGGGAGATAATATACAGGAACAAAATTTGCAAACTTAAATTTTGTTAGTATTAATCCAAACTAGATTGTTATAGGATACTATTTGTAATTCCCAGGGCAACCACTAAGAAAATAGCTCAAAAAGTATTTAGTAAAAGAAACATCAAGGCTGGGCACAGTGGACCACAACTGTATTCTAGCACTTTGGAAGGCCAAGGTAAGAGGATCGCCTGCAGCCAGGAGCTCAAGACCAGCCCAGGCAACATAGTGAGAACCTGTCTCTATAAAAAATAAAAAATATTAACCCGACATGGCGGCACACACCTGTAGTCCTAGCTACTAGGGAGGCTGAGGCAGGAGAATCACTCAAGCCAAGGAGCTGGAGGCTGCAGTGAGCTGTGATGGTGCCACTACACTTCAGCTTACGCGACTCTCTTAAAAAAAAAAAAAAAAAAGAAAGAAAGAAACATCAAGGAAATTAAAATGGTGCATTAGAAAATATATACTTAATACAAAAGAAGGCAGAGAAAGCAATAATGGAGTAATCAAGGAATGACAAAAAAATTACTTGATATACAGAAAAAAGTAGTAAAATGACAAGCACAAATCCTACCTCAGGCATTAGTAAATACATTAACTGTAAATGGTTTCAACACTATACTCATAAGTCACAAATTGCCAGAGTGAATAAAAAATAAATTAATAAATCTCTTCTGCATAACCAACAAGAGACAAAACTTAAACTATGAAAATATCTCATGAAAACTATCACCATTGATTAAACATTCTTCTCATTCAGCAAAATAGAAAATAAGTATTCAGCTTATCTTCTGATTCAGGGTGGCCCATTTAATGCCATTCAGCTTTCACAGGCATATTTTGTTTTTCATGCCCAATTTGGGCAAACTAAACAAAAGATTTAACCTAATTTTAAGTTGTCTGTATAAAATTCATAATTAAAATCATACTTAATCTCATCTTTAATTACTGTCTTTTACTGATGTCTAAGCATGTCGTTTTTAAATAATATTCATGTAAGCCCCTGTCAGTGAAGCACATTAATAGATTAATGGATCTTGCATAACACTGCTGCAATGTCTTTACTACAATTGCAGAAGTTGTGAATTCTCATAACATAAAATGTAAGCAGCTTTTCAAAATGATTACGTAGACCTACTCTTTAACCACAGGGCTGAACATATTTTAAAAGGTAGGACATGATAGACACAGAAAAGTCAATCTTCTCTGAATACAAGGAAAAATTATTTCATACTTCACAAACTAATTATTTCATTCACATAGTCCATGTTGAAATGTAAATACCAAAATGTACACATCCTTCTAAAAAAAAATTGTTACCAGAATTATAACAGGGCTCACTTTATAAATTAACATTATTTTGATCTTCATTTATTAAACCTATAATTACATCACATTTCAAAATAAATTGTTGAATACTAGTCACAGTAAAAATGATCCTAATTATTTAAGTAAGATTGTATAGCACACAGCCAACAATAATCTTTGTGCCACTTAGAAAATAAAAATAGATTCAAGAGGATACAAATTTGGATAAACATTTCAGAAGTACTGATACCTTCTCATGCTAAATTATTAATGTGCTTAGTAAGTTTATTGTTATCATTAAAATTAATATATTCAAAATAAACACAATATATACAAAATATCTAAAAGAATCTAATAGTACTAGTATAGCCTATGAATAAAAGCACAGATTGAGGAAGACTTGTGAGAAACTCAAGCTCTACCGCTTACTATTAATAAAATCTTGGGTAAGTTTGCTCACTTGGAGACTTGGTTTCCTTTGCCTATGAAATGGGAAAAATGTCACTACCAAAAAGTGGCAGCTGGAATTCAATAAAACAACATACAAAGAGGGGTTTACATGATGCTAAGCACAAAGACTTCTATAATTCTTAAGAAAAGTACAGGTGGTATATTACACATAATTCATCAGGAATTCTGTATAGATCAATGGAAACAAAATAGTATAGGCAGAAAAGTCATTGAATGATTACAGACTCAAAACCACTTAAAAAATAGTTTGAACTAGACCAAACTCTAAGGAACTCTGTTTCTGAAATTCAAATATTCTTCCTTAAAGTGATTCCCAAAAAGCCAACAATACTCCAAATTTCTTACAATAAATTATAACAAATACAATAAAGAACAAATTCCAAGAACACCAAACAGATGTAGTGAATAATAAGAACCTATAAAAAATTATTTGAGTAATAATCATATTTTTATAAATTATCTTGAAAAATTATCAAACACAAATATTTAATGTTAATTTCAACAGGGAAAGCTAAAATACAATTTTACTACTTAACAATAAGAAAATCATTAAATGATGGGCATATTCTTACAACACAATAACCCATAGCCATTACAAAAGTTCTCAAAATAACTCATGGTGTAGGTATTCACAATGTGATTCTGAGTGAAAAGGGCAAAACATAAAACAAAATTAACAATTTTGTTTTTAAATATGTTTGCAACAGAAAGAAAAGCCACCAAATGTTTGCGGCAATTACCTCAGATTACTGAAAATGGGGTATTTTTATAGTCTTCCTTTATTTCCAATTTTCTACTATAATCAACTATTATGTTCACAATCAAAAAAAAAAAAATACAACAACATCCATTTATTATTAAACTTTAAAACTCTAGGAATTAAAGAGAACTTCCTCAGCTGGATCAAAATGATATCCACAAAAAACTTACAGCTAACTACTCAATGGTAAAAGACTACATACCTTCTCTACAAAGTTGAAGAGCAATGCAAGGATATCTGCTCTGATGTGACTTGTTCCAGCTTACGTAAGTAGAGGTCCTAGCCAGTGCAATGAGACAAGAAAACAAAATAGAAGGCAAACAAATGAGAAAATGTGAAATAAAGCTGTCTCTACTAACAGACAGCAGTAGTAACAGAAGTAGCTACAAAAGCTACTAGAACTAATTTGTGAGTTTAACAAGGTTGCAAAATTCAAAAATTTAAGATCCATATTAAAAGACTGATGTACTTATATAAATAATTGGAAATTTAAAAAATTTCAAAGGTTACCATTTAAACAGCACCAAATAACAGAAAACACTCAGATACAAATGTAACAAAATATGTGCAACATTTTTATGCTGAAAGCTTAAAAACAGAGAGGAAATCAAAGACCAGTACATATAGAAAGGTTTTCATTTTGTTCTCTCTCTTGAAACAGGGTCTTACTCCTTTGCACAGACTAGAGTGCAGTGGCATGTTCACAGCTCACTGCTGCCTCAACCTCCCAGGCTCAATAAATCCTCCCACCTCAGCCTTCCCAGTAGCTGGGACTACAGGTGCAGGCCAACATGCCCAGCCCATTTTTCTAATTTTTATAGAGATGGGGTTTCACCATGTTGGCCAGGCTACTCTCAAACTCCTGGGCTCAAGCAATCCTCTCACCTTGGCCTCCCAAAGTGCTGGGATTACAAGCATGAGTCATATTTAATATCAATTTCAACATTTAAATTTCAAATTAAACTTAAATTAAATTTCCTGGCTCTGTGCCAGGAAAGGTATTTAATTAACAGATTAAAAAACAATGTTTTTAAGATGTCAATTCTCCCCAAATTGATCTATAACTTCAATGCAATCATAATAAAAATTCCACAATGTTTTTATATAGAAATAAAGAGATTCTAAAATTTACATGGGAAGAAAAAGAACTAGAACACTCAAAAATTTTTGAAAAATAAGTTTGGAGGACTCAGGTTTTTTTGACTTCAAGATACACTACAAAGCTACAGTAATAAGGACTGAAATTTTGGCCAAAGAGTCACACAGAACAATGGAACTTAGTCCACAAAGCAATCCACACAAACATAGTCAACTGATTTTTGACAAGATAAGCCAAGGCAATTTAATGAAGAAAAGGTAGTAAGAATACTCTTTCCAACAAATGGTGCTGCAAGACTGGGGCATCCATACACACATACACATACACACACAACACAGAAAGAGAGAGAGAGAGAGAGTGTGTGTGTCTTGATGCCTACCTCACACTATATGCAAAAATTAACTCGAAATTCATCACAGACCTAAATCTAAAACCTAAGGCTATAAAAGTTCTGGAAGAAAATCTAAGAAAAAAATCTTTGCAACCTTGGATTAGGCAAAATTTCTCATGATAAAAAAAGCACAAATCATTAGAGAAAAAACTGATAACCTGGACTTTATCAAAATTTAAAACTTCTGCTCTCTGAAAGACACTGTTAAGAAAATGAAAAGACAAACTACAGACTCAGACTCAAAGGTAATACTGTGAACATATATTTGATAATGGATTTATATCCAGATTGTATAAAACACTTGCAAACCAATAAGAAAACAAACAACCCAATTAAAAATGAACAAAAGATTTGAGCAGACACTTAATAAAAGATACACAGATGGCAAATAATAGCACAGGATAAGATGCTCAATATGTTAGAAGAAAAAATCAAATTAAAACATAAATGAGTTTTCAATAAATGCATACTAGAATAGCTAACATTAAAAATAAAACAACAAATGTTGACCAGAACGTGGAGCAACTGGAACCATCAAACGTCACTTGTGACAATGCAAAATGAAACAGCTACCTTGAAAAACGTTTGGTAAGTTCTCATAAAGTTATACATGCACTTGCATATGGCCCAAGAATTCCATTCCTAGATGTTTAATCAAAAGAAATGAAAATGTATGTCTACACAAAGACCTGTACCTTAATGTACAAAGAACAGCACATGATTGTTTACAGTAGCTTCATTCCTAAATGCCAAAAATTGTTCAATTGGTGACTAAACATATTATGATATATTCACACAATGAAATACTATTCAGCTGTATAAAAAAAAAAAAAAAGCATCAACAAACATGAATCAACATGAATGAATCAAAGCATTAAGTAAAAGAAACCTGAAACAAAAGGCTACATACTGTATGATTCCATTTACATAACATTCCAGAAAAGACAAAGCTATAAGGACAGAGAACAGATCAATAGTTGCCAGAACCTATGGGTGAGGGGAGGAAACCTTAACATGATGGGAATGTTATTTGTCTGGATTGTGGCAGTGGATCCATGACCACATGTGTTTGTCAGACTTTATACAGCAATATAGTAAAAATTATTTTTTATTTATAAATCGTATCTCAATAAACCTTAACTTTTTTTAAAAAAAAAAAAAGCAATATATATCCTTTTTAAAAATATGTATCATTTAAATGAGCTAACCCAAACTTACTGGGTATGGGAATAGGGCAGGGAAAAACAGTAAGGAGACCACAAGTCCTTAAAATTCTGCAACTCTAAAAAATTAATTTATCATTAGTATATCAGAAACATATGCATAAACACAAAGAGTTAAAGAGAAATACCTTCTTCAATTAAGTTCTCATTGTTTGAACAGAAAATAACAAAATTTGATAAACTTTCAAGGAAGATTAAAAATCATAAGCAACAGGTTGGTAAAGGCATGCTCTAATTATGATCTAGAGTTTGGAAACAACTTATCTAATACACTCCCCTTCCATTTTTCTTAATGCAGCCAGTCTTATCCACCCATCCATTCTATTCCATTCCCACGGCGTCTTCTAGTATCTTCATTCGTAACAATCATATGTAATGATATAGATAAGAGTACAACATAAAATGCCTATTACGCAAATTTCCTATTTGTTCATTTAAGCTCCAGACAAGCTCATCGTTAAATTTCTTTTTTTTCTTTTTTAATGCCACCCAAAAACAAAGTGACATCCCTCTGCGACGATTTTCTATAGTTTCTTTTGTCTGTTATTAAGATGATGAAAATAAACAAAAACGTCTCAAGTTTTAAACGGATCACTCCAATAAGAAGCTACATTTTTCCATTTAATAAAAGTTAAGAGGTAAGTTGTACTTTCATCACTTTGTTTTCTTTATGTTTATTACATTGGGCTTATACTGTTACTAGGAAACCAGTTCATAAGATTTCCCAGCCCACAGAACACTCTCCTAGGCAGCCTGGAGGATACCAAACTTTGTAAGCAGGGCAATTCTCTACCACACAGTTTACTGGTTAGTCAGCACCATGCAGGTGCACTCTGCCTGGCATGCCCCTTACTATATTTACCTAATAGGTACAGACAGTATAACCAATCCCCTCAATGCACCAGAAATTGTAGCAGAGGGCAATGCGGTGATCGTTAAGTGCAGAAGTCTCCGACAGCAGAGAATACAACAGCGAATTTGTTGTCAGTCCCTATCACCCCACTCAACTAAATACTGCGGGGGGGGGGGGTTCCTTAAATTGTAAAGTGAAATGTCAGCCCACTCCAATAACTCCACCACGCAACACGCAAACTGCTTCCAAAAACCATCATCCAGTTCTCACCCGGATTAATATCTGGAGAGAATGGTGGCATCAGAATCCGCACAGCTGAGAGAGGAGGGAAGGAAAGAGTCAGAATTTGTAAGGGGCTGCTGAGTCACCTAAAATTATGGCCAAGACTTTACGCTCCAGGAAATCAAGCTCTGTCCCAACTCTCATCAGGGAAGCAAGTGAGAGTAGCAGCAGCAACATCATCCTACCAAAAAAACACTCAGTGCTGCTTTTAATAGAGTTCCACTCCTTAAAGTGAAGCCAAAATAGGTTTCATATCCAAAGCTTTCCTCTGCAGCAGGCGACACACGCAGATGGAGGAAATATCCTTATTGTTGGGAAAGGGAGGAGCGCTAACGGAGATGAAGGATATACCTCACCACTTGGCAAAGTTACTGGCTCCTGCCCTGACCCCGAAATGCCACTTTTATTGCAACATGTGACCGAAGGAACTATAAGGAAATGTAGCTGGCGAACGCTGTAGAGCTTTTACCCGGTGCACTTGGCAAAGTAAAAGGGGACGCATAAACCAGGCGCGTTCTGTGAAACCTAAGCAAGAACCGAGGTCTCCGTCCGGTAGGAGCTTCGGTGACACAATAGTCACGTGTTCCTGTGCGCAGACTTTCGAAAACACTCCATTCTGGAACGTGCAGGTACCGGTACCTACCGAGGAACGCAGAAACAAGTGGGCACTCCCAACCGCGGGAGCTGGCTCAGTTCCAGCGGGAGGTTGGTCACGCCCCCTGACTCCCGGCTGCAGCAACAGCCCAGGGCGAGGCCTCAGCAGGCGGGCGGCAGGCGGCGGAAGCTCGGCCGCGCTCCTCCCCTGGGTGGGGCGCTCTCAGCCCGCCTCACGCGGCCCCGGCCCCAAGACCCAGGCCCCGGAAGGCGAGCGTTGACTTACCTGCTCCTCTTTCTCGCTCTCTGCTGCCGCCGCTGCGCCGCTAGCCCACGATGCCTGGTGAGCCACCCCCAGCACACAGACCCCTACGCGCACACCCGAGCCACGGCCCTAGGCCCTTGAGGTGAGACGGCGGCCCCAGTCACTAGAGTTGGGGTAGCCCACACACCACTCGGCTTCTAACACCTCTGCCCCCGGAAGTTGATTTCCGCCAAGGCCCGCCCAACCCAGCGCCCGTCACTCAACGTAAACACGCGCGTCACGTGGCCCCTGACCGAGGCCCGCGTTGGGCCCCGTGTGGAGAGCCCTGCTACTCCAGCTTGAGCGTGGTCTTGGAGAGTTGCCCTGTGAAACGGGGTGACTTTGCCTTGCTCCTTCCCAGTCCACCTCCTGTTAGCTAGTTTCTCATTCCTCTTGAGTGGCAGGCCCTGTTTCTCTACCTAATTCCTGCAAATAAACCGTCCCCCCTAATCAAAATGACTTCCATCCGGAACTCTGTAGGATTGGTCCTAAGAAGAACTCGCTGAATCTCTTCACCATTTCCAAGCAGTGTACAGTAAAAACGGCGACTAAGCAAAGTGCCTCACATGTAGCAAGTGCTCAAGAAACGGATGTTGACTAGATGCTACCTCTCATCTTTGCCTATCTGAACTCTCAAGCACTGAATGCAAGTATGCTGAGGCTCCGTGGAGCAGGAAGATGACTTCAGTCAAAGAATTCTGCCTAGAATTACTTTTGTTCTTGCCTTCAACTACAGATCACAGCAGTTCATACATGCCATCTCTGTTGCAGAGTTTTCTTTCAAAGCCTTTCTTAGAAGCCTTCTGTCAAGTAGCTTCTCCTGAAGCAATAGGAAAAGAATAGCATAATTCACAGATTTGTTATTTGAAAGGAAGGAATGATTATATAGATGTCTTTGTCCATTTTGGACTCTCAATAGCAATGAGAGAAACAGTCAACTAGCAGTTCACTCGTTAGTGTTTCTTCCGTTTTTGCCATGGGAGGAATTTGGAGAACATTCATTCAACAATTTTTTAGTGATTGTATACCACATACCTAGTTCTGGGTGAAGTTTTGACAATTCAAGAGTGGACAAGGTAACACTGAAGATGTTTGTCTTCAAGGAGCTTACAGTCTAGTAAGAAACAAAGACACTAACCTGGGGTTTTTGAGCATAAATCTCTGGAATATTCACATTCCTTGTATAACAAGTGTTCTTTAATCCTTGGACATTGGGAATCTCATCTGTTGAACAAAATTAGCTCAAACCTGTAATCTCTGTTCTGTACTGGAAGCAGAAAATATTAGCAAGGCATCCTGACAAGTGTGCCATAAGTGCTGGCCTAAGTAGTTAATGAGCAGATTCAGTATTGAGCAGGTCACCTTGACTACATTATTTTCCAGCCCACCCTCTTATTTGTGCATACAGAAAACATTTCTCTTATGAGAAATATAATACTTTCTTACACATATTTGTCGGCTACACCACCAAGTCAAGGACCACTTCTCACTTGTATATCCAGCAATCTACTCACTTCGCTTTTGTCTTTGTATATCCAACAGCCTAGCAAAGTCTCTAGTAAATTAGAAAAAGAAGTATTCAATAAATATCTCTTAAACCTAGTAAAGCTACCTTTATATTATTTTGTCTCTCATATCTCTTTCTGCTGGAAACTAGATGAGTTTCTCAGAGTTCCTTCCCACTGATGTATCTATATGTTCACTCTGTCCCAATATTCAATATTAAATAATATTCAATACTTAACAGATTTATAAGAGTAATATTTATTATTAATATTTGCTATGTGCCTGGTATTAGACTAAATATTTTAAGTCCCTTACATAACTTACAGTAATTTTACAAAGTAGGTATACTAATATATTTACACCTTAGATGAAGTTAAAGATTTAGGAAGTATAAATTCACCAAGTAGATTTAAAGCCAGATCTGCCCAACAAAAGGACTTTGTATTCACTATAGCCCATCACTTTGCTTTTAATATCACTTGTTTATCAGTGGATTCAGATGCTACCAACTCCATGAAATCTTTCTCCATTCCCCACAGTAATCTGTCTTTTTTTCTTCATAAAGTAGATAATTCAATGATTTTAGTATGTTCACAGATTTCTGCAAGCTTCACCACAATCAATTTTAGAATATTTTCACAGCCCTGAAAAGAAACCCCATAACCTTTGGCAGTTACCCCCAACTTCTCCCAAGTTTCTCCCTTCTCTCCCCAGCCCTAGGAAACCAGTAATCCATTTTCTGTCTGTATGCATTTGTCTATCCTGAGCATTTCATATAAATGGATTTATACAATGTGTGGTCTTTTGTGACTGGCTTTTTTCACTTAACATGTTTTCAAAGTTCATTTATCCCTTCATCAGTTGAGTTCTTTCTACTTTCTTAATATTATGAATAATGCTAATATTGATATTCATGTACAAGTGTTTATGTCAACATATGTTCTCATTTCTCTTGGATATATACCTAAAAGTGGAATTGTGGAGTCATATAGTAACTCTATATTTAAACTCTTGTGGAACTACCACTTTCCCAACGTGGCTGTACCATCTTACTTTCTCACCAGCAATATATGAGGGCTCTAATTTCTCTATTGTGCCTTTTCTTCTCTCTTCAAGAATATATGCCTCTCTTACTTTTCAGAATACTTTTTCCATGAGCCATCTTGAATTATCTTCCCTTGTTGTACATGTATCTGCAAGCCCATTTTTCTAATAGTTTTTGACCTTCTGAGATGAAAATCATGATGCCTGCCCTCAAGAGAATTACATGTGGAAAAAAATACAATCAAATCAGATATTACAGTAATAATAAGCACTGAAAGTACATTGCTAAAATGTGGAGAAAGAACACCTCACTCAGCCTAGCTTAAACAGGAAGTACTTCTCATAGAATGTATCAAAGCTCAGGATTAGTCTTGAAGAATCAGTTGGACTTGACCAAGCTAAGGAAAGACATGAGTATGCTCCAGAAAAAGGAACATATACCTTTGTATATACTTCCTTGTCTATGAACTGTGGAGATAAGTATATTTTGCAGGTAAGCATACTATAGAAGCAAAAATCGTTACATGTAGTTCTGCAGCCAGAGAAATGGGAAATGTAGATGGCCAGATGATGAAGAGCTTTGTAAACTGTGCTAAGGAATTTGACTGTATCCTGATGGTAGTGGGAAATTGTTGGATTAGTTAAGCAAGATTGGGGAAGAATTACTTAAGCAATAGTGTAGAGGAAGGATTATTGGATGGAAGAGAGGGGACCAAGACTAGAAAAACAGAGAAACCAGTTAGAAGCCATAAAATAACTAAAATGAGGAATTAATGACTGCCTGAGCAAAGATTGGTAGCCATAAAATTTGTAGAAGGATTTTAAAGGCACATCAGCAACAAAAAAAGAGGCAAGAAGCCAGGCATGGTGGCTTATACCTGTAATCCCAACAGTGTGGGAGGCTGAGGTGGGAGGATCACTTGAGCCTGAGAGATTGAGGCTGCAGTGAGCCATGATTGTGCCACTGCGCTCCAGCTGGATGACAGAGCAAGACACTGTCTCAAGCAAACAAACAAACAAAAAAGACAAAGAAGAAAGAACTGAAGATGTATTCCACGTTTCCAGCTCTAGTCATAAAGGTAGAAGATTCAAAAGGAGAATTGGGCACTTAGTGATAAGAATAATGAAACACTATCTTAGTTTCTTCAGGCTGCTATGAAAAAAAATACTGGGTAGCTTATAAATGCAAATTTATTTCTCACATGTCTGGAGGCTAAGAAGTCCAAGATTAAGGCACCAGTAGATTGAATGTCTAATGAGGCCCTGCTTTCTGGGTCATAGATTGTGCCTTCTAGATGTGTCCTCATGGGGTAGAAGAGACAGGCAACCCTCTGGAGCCTCTTTTATAAGGGCACTAATCCTAGTCATGAGGCATCTGTCCTCATGACTTACCTTCCAAAGGCCTCACCTCCTAATGCTATCTCATTAGTTATTAAGTTTAACATATGAATTGTGAGGGGACAAAAACCTTGAGACCACAGCAGAGGTAGGTTGCAGGAATTTAAACTGCCATTGAAGTTTATATGCTATTGCAGTCACTCACAGAAATGAGATGAACATTCATGCTAAGTTTGGCTCATATTTCAAGACTTAGCATACCACATATGCACCAACAGGGTATAAAAAGGTTTATTACTCACATAATGAGGCTTTCTAGGAAGGGTAGAGCAAACTTCCTAAGCAGGTTTTAAAATGACATGAGAGTTAGGAGAAAAAGCTGTTGGGATTTTTTTCATGGCTAGGACATGGCACTTGGGCAAAAAAGCCCACACGGGTAGGGACTATATGGCTTGAATTTTCTACCAGTACCAAAATGGGAAACACCTATTTAGCACCATATCTGGATCTGGCTAAGCTTTCTTATTAGGTTGCCTAGATCCAGATATGCTACAAAAGGGAACAGGTGAGGAACAGGACTTAAATCTTGATGTAAAATATGAAAAACATAAAATGTTTTAAAACATAAAACAAACATAAAAAATTATGTCAGACACAATTACATATTCTTAGATCAAGTTTAATTCCAACTAACAATATAGTTGTTACATATTTATATGCTTTGAAAGTGATTATAACGGACACTGTAGCTGCTATCCCAACATTTATTAAACTCTTCCCATATTGTGCAGAGTACACCTAAGAAATTTAGGTGAAATTAACCTATCTCCAAAGTTACTCCAGTTAAGATAGCCCAATCCCAGGCTGCATTGTTCCCCTGGCCACAGAAGTTGTTCAGGGTTGAGCAAATCAGCACCGATTACAGAACTTTTGCCCTAAAATTGTGGGGTGTGGCTCCTTTTTCTCCCTTGATATGAATAAGAAAGCATATGGTTCTTGTTACTGAGGGCCGTCATCCTGTAAGCAAGAAAATTAAAAAGCTGGAACCCTGATCAAATAAGCAAAGATTTATAACTTTGTTTATAAGAACAAGGATATAAAGAGTAAACTGTGAAAGGTTTAAATAAACATTTTTCTGCCTCCTTCCTTTTTAATCGTTTCTTCTGTTATGGCAGCTTTAAGTCAAATTAATATAGAGGTTGATTTTTCTACTTGACCTCACTGGTACTGAATAGTAGTTAAGTCAGTTTGAATTTGTTATTATTATACTTCACCTTAAAATACTTTAGTGCCTATAATGAGATATAAATGTACATCTGTGTT